GCAACTGTGCTGGTCTCTGCTCCAAAGCTGGTGGATTGTGACATCGCCTCGCTTGATGTGGCCTCTGCTCCACTTGTAGACGTCATAGTGGCGTCGCTCGTTACGTGGCCGCTGATGGTTTCTGCAGCTGTGCTAGTCTCCGCTCCAAAGCTGGTGGATTGTGACATCGCCTCGCTTGTTGTGGCCTCTGCTCCACTTGTAGACGTCATAGTGGCGTCGCTCGTTACGTGGCCGCTGATGGTTTCTGCAGCTGTGCTAGTCTCCGCTCCAAAGCTGGTGGATTGTGACATCGCCTCGCTTGTTGTGGCCTCTGCTCCACTTGTAGACGTCATAGTGGCGTCGCTCGTTACGTGGCCGCTGATGGTTTCTGCAGCTGTGCTGGTCTCTGCTCCAAAGCTGGTGCATTGTGACATCGCATCGCTTGTTGTTTCCTCAATTTCAATTGTAGAAGCTGTGTCGGCGCTGCTAGTTTTCGTATACTCAGTGCTAGCAGCTGTGCTGCCAGTGTTCCCAGATGTTGTGATTTTGAACTCACTCGTGGCCATTGAAGCTGTCGTTGTCAAGGTCTCTGAAATTATGCTTTTAGTTCAGCCTAATCTTGTAGCCCAGTGATATGTGCTTTTTGTCGCGATTTACATCTATTACTGGTTTTGCGCTTAAATTTTTCCCTTCAGCGCTTTGTTGCCATTGAAATTTATCTCTTTATGTCGTCTTCCTTGATAGGGATACACTCAGCGTCGGTCTTTGTGGAATCTTCTTTGGAACCTTAAATTTTGCCAGTATGTGAGCTGTGACTATGTTTTTAATTTATTTTATTTTATAACTACACTCACGGTGCATCAAAAGGAAGAAGATCAAACAGAAAGATCAAATAAAGCACAACACATGAAACTAGCCTTCCAGTCACAGGGCAAAGAGAAATTAAAGAATGGATAACAAAACACGAAGCTCTAGACTTATCTAGCGAAGTAGAAAACACTTTGCACAAAAATCTAAAAACCTTTTGCATCCTTAAAACTCATGATGATTTGCAATGAAGACCTCAGAATTGGTACATACCGATTATTCAGTTTAGCAAACAGCTGCATAGTTGTTCTAGGCGCATGAAAGAAAAGCAGCGTACCCTTTTTAGAGACAAAAGTTTAGCTTTTCTGCTTCCGTCACCTATGCTTGATTTAGCAGGCGCGCGCAACGATTCTCGACTTGAACTTTCTGGCAGAATTCTCATATTCATCTTTCGCTCACATATCTCTTTCTTCTGATTTGGACTGAATCGTATCTGGAAGTGTAAATCTTCTACGAAACCAATCAATCATCAAGCAAACTACGCTTTGGAATTTTTAGAATTCAGTCAATTTGAGCAAAAATTATCCTGCTGCCCTAACCCATGTTCACCTCTTTGATCTTTCTTGACACAAACAAGTTTTTTATGGAGTGTCTTGCAACAAAGAAGCCACTGTTTCGGGATCCTTCAGACTCTCTAAGCAAACTAACAATCAGTGGCGAGATAAACCGACTTTGCCTCGAAGAGACTTCAAATGAACTTTTCGTGCACAAGCCCCACATTTCGTGAAACGCACCCCATCCCGGTTCATTAGCTGCTGATGTAAAGCGATGATATTATCTAAAAGTTGCGGCATTTCTAAACTGCCTTTGAACTTCCAAGAAAATTTTTTCAGAAACTTTGAGGACGCGATTACTTTTGGTACTTTTGCTTACTTTTGAGCACTAAAACATGCATGACAACAGTATAATTAACAGGAGCTTGAAAGTTACTCACATGGTTTATAAAATGTACAAGTATCTTGTCTCTACTTCAAATCTTATATATAAAGCTGAATGTCTGTCTGTCTGTCTGTCTGTCTGTCTCTACGTATGTGCGGAATAGAAATTTTTATTTCTGAACCGATCGGGACCAAACTTGGCACACATATACTTCGGGGCAGGGAGCGTGTCATAGGCTACTTTTCGTTATCGATCGATATCGATTTTATCGATTTTTTTGCAAAATTTGAGCTACGGGGCTGGGAGTTGGCACAGGGGGGTAATCGAGCATGCTGATTACGAATATAATAATGACAGGGCCGGGCGGAGCCGGGTTTGCCAACTAGTTTCTTATATATACAAAAGCAGGAAATCTGTGTGTCTGTGTGTCTGTGCACATTTTCCATGAAGGATGAGCGGTGTTATTTTGATTTGTTGGTCGTCAAGATGTAGTAGGAAGCGTACCCAAGACGAGTCGAAATCAAAGGAGGGCAAATTTCGCTACATGAAAGATTAAGCAAGACAGGCTGACTCCAGAAAGGGGAGGGGGGACCGGGATGCCAGCTAGTCTTATATATAAAGCTGGTGTCTGTTTATATGTATGTTTGTGTGTCTGTACGTATGTTCAGAATAGAAATTTTTATTTTTGAACCGATCCAGATCCAATTTGGCACACATACACTTCGGAACGGAGCGGGTGTCACAGTTGCTTTTCGTCATCGATCGATATCGATTCTATCGATTTTTATCGATTTTTTTGCAGAATTTTGGCAAGTAGAAGTGGGCACAGGGTAAGGTTGTACAGGAATATGGATAATAATCCTTAAAATAGTATATTGACAGGGCCGGCCGGAGCCCGGTATGCCAGCTATTCTTTTTAAAAAATGTAAAATTTCTTAGAAATTTAAACTAGCTTTGTTAATTTTTACGAGGGCGTGGCGGTCCCATGCCCTTTTTTCTAAAATTTTCAAGAATAGATCAAAACTTTCGCCCGCAAAAATTCTCGAAAGCAAAAAAAGTTTTGAAGTGCGTGAACTAAGGCCGTACATTTTTCGAAAAAAGGTTTTGTCCACCCCCGCTCTCCCGACCGTACACCACTGCTGCGGGAGACCCACGCTGGAGTACCAACTCGTGCCGAAATATCGCAAAAATTATTGGCCTAGCTAAATCTAACGGCAGTCGAAAGATTACCTGGATCGCAAAAGTCGTGGATTTGTTCTTCTATATTCTTCTCCTCATCTACTCCCACAACTAGTCCTATGTCATGATTAAGCTGCTCAGCTGTAGTCAGCACGTCATTTGTATTTGACACCAGCAAAATTCTCCTTTTCAGTTCTGCTTTTTCTTGAATGAAGTTTCGTATCGTTATGCCCTCAGAGCTAAAATCGAGTTTTAGTATTAAATGATTTTTTGCGGAAGGTGTGGTGATAATCTTGCAAGCTTTATTCAAAACAGACAGTTTGACGCACCTATAATTGTGAGTGCAGGGTATGTAGTAAATGAGAAGATCTTGTTTTCTTGTTTTCACCCTCCGTGCAAACTCGGCGATTACCCTGAAATCGTGCGTCAAAAAGCTTTCACAGAGTAAATACATTTCTAAAAGAATTTTGCTGCTCAGAGTACTATATGTGAAACAACATAAGCGAAAAGATTTTGTAGTAGCCCTTGTTTCTATAGGCTGCTGCATGACGAGGGCGCAATATTTTTGGGCGCGAACCGGCTTTGTTAGCCGCAGAGCGTATGAGGCACAGGATTTACAACGGTGAAAATACGCGCGTGCAGCACTCGTGCCCGCTCAACTAATACTGCTTCTGCGCCTTCGTCATGCGGCAGCCTTTACATTCTAAAAATTTGAGGACCTTTATACCGCTAAGCAAGTGAACGCAAGCACCACTTAGTTGGTAAACACTTGTTATTTTCAAGACTTCCCTTGTACTCTGTATTCTATTGAGAATGGCAGATGGAGGGCGGAACTAATTAAGCTTGAGTATTCAAAAAGCAAGCGGAGAGATGGAGAACCCAGAGCCCCACCCTCCACCAACCACTCCTAGAAATCTTTCGAATAAAGGGAGTGGCGTGCCACACTTTGCGGAAAAATTTGGGATTACCTTCACTTTTAGCGCGCTTATAATTATAATGTGATAAGCAGCAATTGCTTCCCAACAAAGTCACACAGATTCAATTTCTTACAATTTATTTTTTTCAAGTTGTTGGCAATTGAAACGAAACTTGCACAATTTCGTAACACTTATAGACCCGTTTCAAAGTTTTCGCAGTCTTTACTCGGATCTTACGCCCCTGACAGGGTAGGGGAACGAAAGTCTCCAGTGAGCCGCCTTTCGCGGCCAACTGATCCTTCGCAGTGTTGTTGCATGTCGTTCCAGGACCAGCAGTCCGCGTAGAGGCGGCCCATACTGGCGGCTTTCGTTCTCCCACTCCCCCCCCCCTGACCCCACTGACATATATTTGTGCTCAAGGTACTTTTAAATTACTTACGATGCTTCATCGTAATGCCTTTCTGAGCTGGGAGAAAACTTATTCAAGGTTTCGATGGCATTTTTTCTCGACAGAGCCGATGTTGTTTCGATTTTAGAACCATGCAAGATGAAACTATAGCGTTGATTCAAGCGCGTCATGAGCGCTATAGCATTTCTGGTGTGGTTAATATTCTGAAAATCGACTTCAAATGTTCGTTTTATGCAAATAATTATTTTGATTTTTCCAAAAAAACTTATGACCAATTCGGAAATAATTTGCAATTTTTTTAATTGACTCTGTGAAGATCATCGACCATATGAAGTTGAAGCAAAGAGTCCGCTTTTTACGTTGCCTGCTTCTGATAGCTCAAAAACTCAAGTAATAAAGAAATTTTGGCTGTAGCACTTGTGGCGTAATATCTTTCATCAATGATCCTCAGTATTAGTTATTTTGAGTCAGATCAAAAAATTAGTCATATTGTAGTGGGACTCACCAAGGCAAAACTGCACTCCTTAGTTATGTTCTCGCTTAATTGTTTTAAATAATCGGAATAAAGTAGCTCGTCAGTGTCTCCTCGGAACATTGCAAAATAGATGATTCTATCCTCATCTGTACAAAGAAAGTTTTGCTGTGATTCTGACTTCAATTCTTCACAAATGTGATGCAAAACTTCGTATAAATCGAAATTTCTGGAGTATATAAGCTGTTATACCTGGAGCTTCAACATCTGACGTTGGCAACAATGCAAAAACCAGTGCTGCTGCTCCAAAAATGATTAAAAAGAAAAGAAACAGGTAAACTCTCTTTTCTGAAATTTACTTTTATTAAAAACTGTACTGTCTGAAAGCTAATTCAACCTCGTTTCTTGCTTTCCTTTTCGTGATTACATTCTGGTATAGAGGAAACTTCGGATCGCCCAATGCTCTCATAGGTGCTTGAGGGGTAAAGGTCATAATCACGCCACATTGAACAGCTTGTTAGTTATCACTGAAATTGCTTGCTTTGGCACAATTATTTACAAGCCGCATTAGAAAAAATTTCAAACCTTTGAAATGTTTGACTAGGGCTTTGTCAAGGTACACTTCCAACAGTGAGAATTTGCGAAAGAGCCGCAGATCTGGAAGACTTGTTCTTAATCATAGGGCATTATAAGCCCTAAGAAAAAGAATAGGTCATACTGCTGACGAAAGATTAGATGAAGTTGAAAGGAAAGGAGGACGGTTTTGAGCCAAGTTTGAGCTTGTGGAGGCGATCTCAAATGTTTGTTAAAAAATTTTGCTTAGGTCTTTAGGTCATGCTGTAAAAATATCATCAAACCCATCCAATATAAGAGAATCGTCAACTCAATTTAAAATCTGCAAATAGCGAGAAACCGCGTGGCGGTCCCGAAGCGAACGCTCTTCCAGTTAGCACCTTTAGATTACTAGTTTATTAGTTACTACTGAAATACTGAAGACACCTTTGCGTGTATATAAGTCATTCTAAGTTTTCATATGCTTTAAACGCTCTTACTACTGCATAAAAAATTCATTGCTAGGAAAGCTGCGAAATTTAGAAAAGCAATGTTGCTTATTACAAAACTCCGCGCAATAGAGAGCTATTTTCAAAATTGTCATGTCTACAGGGTGCGCCAAAATTACCGGCGCGTGGTCCTTTGGGTGCCAGAAGGATACTAGACGGGCTTGAAGACGGATCGAGTATGCGTTTCTTTTCACCAATCATCATTATCGTAATGACTTAGTCAAATCAGAATTTGGCTGCTTTATCCCCCGAAAAAACTCCAACTCCTCTCGCCCACCGAAGTGCGCCCTGTACGCAAGCATGACTTTGAGGAATTACGTAGCATCATTTTAACAACATTTCCTCTTGGTCTGTAATTGCATACAAAATTGGAGCAAGCCTTCAGCTTTAATACAGCTAAGCATGGGAATTTGAAAATCAATCCGAAGAGAATTTCTGATTATTCAAAAACATGGTTGAGAAGCGGCATAACGGAAATTGGCGTAAGTTTGACCTTCCTGAGTGCGGCTTAGGATCAGAAAATGTCTTCTAAATCAGATTCAAAACTATCTCAGCTAGCCGCTTCTATCTAGATGCTCTTCTACTTGTCTCACAAGTAAAAAAACTGTTTTACCTGAAATTTTTTGCATCTCTGGGGCCTAATAATCGATTTTGAACATGAGGTCATTGCTCGTACGCAGGTATTTTTCGCAAACACATTTTCTCGTTTCGTGAAGGAAAAAATTCTGCAAATGAAACTAGACCTTTGTGATAGTGCAAATTGTGCCCTACAACCTCAGCTTGGAGGGGCCTAGAAAGGCTTTGAGTTTATTAAGTTATAGGGCAGATTATGAAAGAAAGATTTCATTTTTGCCTTACTTGAAATTACAGGTCTAATTTTTTTAATTCTCAGATTCTTGAAAAGAGGTCTTCTTGGATTATTAGCCTTCTATGGCACAAATTCGAGCTTGTATCTCTCAATGGTCCCTTCGTGACAGTGTTTGTAAAGTTGGCGCCGGGAATTTTGGCGCACCCTATAAAGCTACATTTTTTGCAATAGCATAAATTTTTACAGTTTTCCTATAATTTTGCTACAGCTCACGTCTCTTTCGAGACGCAGACTAAATGGATGGTCCGACAGCCTTCACGCCAACTGGGCGGTGCCCTACAACTCCAGATGAGCTGTGCCTAACCGGGTGACCGGCGGTTACCCTTCCCCTTCTTTTATACATGCAAATATATAATAAAGATTCTAGTCATAATGTTATGTTCATATAAAGTAAGACAATCAGGGTGAAGGATTCAAGTCAGGAGAGTGCACCTCTTGGACTTGACATGGAAGTCCCGGGGAGATTAGCCGTGATTTCCTAGAGCCGTGATATCCCGGAGCCGTGATTCCGCGACCCGTGAACAATTGTTTTTTTCATTCAATCGATGTTATTTCTTCCATTAGAACCCCCATATTTTCCTTACTAAAGCGCAACATTCCGGTGACTCTATCGTCACCGCCGGCATTGTATATATGTACATATAAGGTTATGCAAGTGGAAAACGCACTGTGAGCTTAATTTTTTTCACAACTCTCACTAGTGGAAAGACCACTGTGAGACCACTTTTAATTTTAACTCTCACTAGTGGAAAGACCACTGTGAGAATACTTTTCATTTTTTTATGACTTCACTAGTGGGAAGACCACTGTGAATGTACTTTTTTCCCGCTCTCTAGTGGAAAGACCACTGTGAGCCCATTTTTTTCAATTTCTCACTAGTGGAAAGACCACTGTGTGCCTTACCAAATTCAAAATTAAGTTCCCACTAGTAGAAAAATTACTGTGAGTCCAATTTTGCTCAGGGAGAGTTTCATAATTATTTATTATGATTGCCCGAGGAAAATCGATGGGCTATCTGATCGCTCGCGGTTATTTCCAGAGTCTACACTCCCAGTCCCTTGATTTTAATGGCTAATCACTCAACAACGAGTGACATTTAGCCGCCAGAAGTAGGCACATGCAGCGGCAGTGCGCTTTGAACCTCGTATCCCATCGACGAATGTCTCGGCCAGAGGTATGCGGCTATTGTTTGTTGCTGATTAGCCACTTATGGACTTCTGGGCTGGATGGCACCTCAGAATCGAGTACGGTGGAAAGCAGGTATTCGTCCCAAGGACTTCTCGAATGATATTCTCTACGGAAGACCGAAAAAAATCAGGAACAACTTTCCAACAGCCCTACTCAAGTGATTGTTTAAGAGAGGTACGCTTTATCTAGCCCTTAACTATGATTTTTTTCTCTTTTCCACATACCTGTTTCAAAAAAAAAAAGATGGATCAAAAAGCCAAGATACGTCACCAATGCCTGAGTCTTTGAGAAATTGTGGAAGCCACTACCTCAAATTGACATATCAGCATGACATAAGATTTGTTTTGGAAAGAATCTCATGGATAATTACGATGACTAGCTAAATTCGCTAATTCGTAAATTCCTTTGGTTGTCTGCCAAGAGAATTGAGGCAAACTTACCAAAAATGAGTCTTTATTCCAAAAAATGGTATTTTCAGAGAATACCATGAGTTTCAAAGAGTTCTCGAAATTGAGACTATATGAAACCCTTATTTTGATGTGTTTGATTGATTTACCCACAACCTTCAAGAAAAATACTTGTAATAATCTCAGAAGGAAAAAAAATCAAAAAAAAATTTTTTTTTGAAAAATCACGTATTTACAATTGCAAAAGTTACTTTATAAAAACCTGTCAAGATTTCCAGAAGATCAGCTTTTGCATTTTTGTAAAGCACTTCTGTAACCTCCTCCTTTGTAGATTTATTTATCCAAAAAAAAGCAGTTGTCTGCGCTAGTTTTCAGCTATTTCGACACCTCATCTATTTTTGTCCTCTTTCTCAAGACACGAGGATGGCAATCTTACTTAGAATCGCATCCTATAAAATTTATCTAGAATCTTCGCTTATTTTCATGTTAGTTCGAAATTAGGTGACGATTTGCACCTATTGCTGACCAAACTTGACTTTTGAAATGTATCAGAGTAGAGCTCCATGACTAGATAAAAATGTTCTTTTTGAAAATTTTCGCGGCACCGCTTAGAGACGCGACGCAGCGCTGAAGCGAGGGATCGCAGCGAAGGAAATACCGATCGCCGTCGCCCCAGCGACTCTCAAATTTTTGTCTTGTCGACTAAGTTGACTGTAAGCAAAGTCTAGGAAAATTAGTTTTCTGCATCTCCTTTGATAAGATTTACATTCCTAGAACAGCAAAACAAAATTCTTTTCTGAATCAATTTTTCCCAATAATACTGCCACAAGCATCAGTACCGTCAACTACTGTGCATGAATTATACCAATTTTTTAAACCCAAACTTTATGAGGTCCAGAAAAAAGTCATTTAGCAGCCTGATCATCCTTCTCGGTCGAATTCAGATGTTCAGAGCTCTGGAAAAAGACTGGAAGGGTCTCACTCTGGTTTGTAAAGTGTCACTAACAAATTTTTTCAAATGTAAAATGTAATGTATTGCTTGGCTGCAATAGAGCTAGTGTTCAAGGCACCTAGCTTCAAGTTCGGAAGTTACTAAGTGTTTTTTTTCTAAAACAGCTTAGTTTCTTGGAAAGAAATTCAAAAAGGTCAAAAAAACCTCCACTAAGCGGTGTCCTTTGACATTGCAACAATCTTTCATGGCACTTTTCAAAAAGGCTGCAAGACATGACTGACAAAGCTGACCATACAAACTGCATATTTAAAATTTTTTTTTGCTTTATCGTTTGGTTTCTCACTTCATCCATTGAAATCTTTGAAAGGTTTGGAGGTGAGACCTATGTCTTACTTGTTCTCTCATCAAAAAGAGGAAAATAGTAAAATTGATCTTTTTTCAGCATCGGCCATTACTTCTTGAAACTACTATTCTATACTTTTGACAAATGATCCAAGACCCAACATAGGCTTCCAAAAACAAAAAAAAGGTGGCGAAAGAGCTACACATTCGTTCACTTTGTATTTTCGTCAGCGCTTAGCAGGTGGATTTCAACCATCGGTTATCATCTACTATACAAAAAAAATTCTAGCGGAACATAAGGTAATTATTTGAATTCAACTGAATTCACCCGTGGTGCAGAAACATCCATAACTGTGCATTTCAGAAAGAAAATGACAGCATCGCTTAAACTTTTCGGTTCATCGAATACTTACCTTTGATTCAAATTCAGTATTTTTCTGATTGCAAAACGATCGTGCGAGAGTCCTGTACGAGTCTCACCTCGCGCGACTAATATGTTCGCGACAATTTCAGATATGCGAAAGCGAGGCTAAGAAAAAAGTGCGAGTAAACGTAGAAGAAATAGTACAGTGGCATCAAAACTATTCTGTTTTTACTTAGTATTCTCGTATAGCCGTTTTATGAAAATCTTGTTGTCGTCATTGTTCTCATGTCAGGTGTTCACCATTGTATCATAACCGATTTCTGTTCGAGTTTTAGTCTACACTCACATGTTCAGAGCATGTGAGGAAAACGGAAACTGTGGGCCCCATTCTACTGTGTTCACCTTTGTATTATTGTTTTCTGCCATCAGATGTTCAGAGCGTTTGAAAAGACAG